CCAGTACGCTGAGGCGAAAAACTTGTGGGGCGTTGCCTTGGAAGTCGGGAAAAATTGGCTGGGCCATAAACTGCTTGGGAGGTTCCTATGCTGCCTAGGACATGGTGACATTTCCAGAGTCCAGGATTAGGGAAAAACGGGGTTCAGCAATCTTGGTTTGCGGGTGGTAGTGGTGTGGGACTACAAGCCCCTTGGCAATTTTGGCAAAGAGTGGCAAGCAGCCCTTGTCTTCTAAATTTTGCAAAAGAGGCCTCCCCTTCGAAATTTTCCACGCCCCCCCACCCCCCCACCCCCCCTCCGCAACCAGGATTCAAACTCTTTACAGCTACATGTGTATGCCTATCAGCCACATGGGCATAAGAAAAACGGTGGTTTCGACCCTGGAAAGGTGGTGATAGCCCAGCGGGGCCTACCCCTACGTCCCCATATCCCAGTCCTGCATTTTCCTGGGGCTGTTCCCTTAGTGGGCGCTGTAGCTCGCGCTCGCTATCTGGGTGTAGCTCATCCGATTATCGGATAAGGGTGGGTGGGTGGGAGGGTAATGGGAGAGGGGAGGGGGAGGAGGCGCAGCTTCTACGGGTAGCATGCCGTCTGAAAGTAACGCTGAGTGTCGAACAGTCACGGAGGGATTGTTGATTGAACCCAAGGACGCCGGTGAGCAATCGTTTTGTTTTTTTTTGTTTCCCCCCCTCCCCCCCTCCCCTCCCCCTCTCCTTTTGTAGACCCCATCCGCCAATCGTCTCGTCCTCAGTCTATGTACGTAAAAGCGCGGCAAAAAGAACCTGAAACAAAAAAATATCATCTTCAAACTGACCATCCCCAGGTAAATTCAGAGTTATTTACTATAAAAAAAGAAAAAAAAAAAAAGTTATTTACTCACTCGAGCCCACTGGGATTCGAACTTGGGTCCGTATTTCAACAGTTCATGAGTGTACCAACTGAGCTAGGCCCGTTGGTCCTAATAGAAAGATACGATACCTTATTATCGCGAAGGAAGATCCTGTCGTTCGACATGCGTCCACGTGGCCCGCCAGGGAACAACCGATGTTATCAACACGGTAATCGTACGGCGAAAATCGTCCGTACCTCGGGTGCTCCGGGATCGAGTGTGAAACTCCGAACGGTCGAGATTCACAGCCGTGTGACCCTGTGGGCCATCTTGAGTGACGCTCCCATAGAGCAGGTTGAACAAGGGACCAGAGGGCGAGAGAGAGAGAGAGAGAGAGAGAGAGAGAGAGAGCCCACGTGAGGACGGAGTTCGTGGGGAGGAACTATTCGGAGCCGTGATCACAGCAACCATCCGGTCACGTGGGCTAGTCGGACTCGATCACATGCGGGCCGCGGGACGCTGATAGCTTTCTACTCCCATCCGTTCGTCCGTCGTCTGTTGATGGCCGCGGGCTGAGCGATTCTACTCAGCTGCGAGCTCTCTTTCTCTCTCCCTCTCTCTCTCTCTCTCTCTCTCTCTCTCTCTCTCTCTCTCTCGTCTTCTCCGATCTGAGAAGAACGTGGGGGTCTGCGAGGAGGGAGAGAGAGGTCACGTACATCTCCGAGCGGGAGTGGAGGGGGAAAGGCCCGAAAGGGAGAGGGGGGAAGGGGCAGGGGCAAGGAAGAGAGGGAAAGGAGGTCACGCCGGCGTGTAGGCGGGCCGTGGCCCAAGGCAGCCGATTTCGTGACGTTTCAGGACTTTTTCGAATGTGAGGGGTCGGAGCGGACCCAGCCACTTCACACAGGTGGCTCTCCTCTCTCCCCCAGCATTCGGGTTCGCGACAAAGCTTTTGTCTTTGGGCCAGAAGCCAGCTAAAGAAGGGGGGAAGAGAGAGAGAGAGAGAGAGAGAGAGAGAGAGAGAGAGAGAGAGAGAGAGAGAGAGAGAGAGAGAGATGGCGGCGACGCGATTGGCGATGGGCGTCGCCAGCGGTCAGTGTGTGACCGGATGTCGTGAGGGAGCGACCGGTCTTTCGCCGGCATTGCAACAAGGAGAGAGGTCGTCATGGGGTTTGTCAGCGCCATCGAGCTCCTGCCCCTTCTCCTCCCGCTCCCCCTCCCCCTCCCCCTCCCTCTCGTCCTCCTCCTCTTCTTCTACCTCGCGTGTTCCTTCCTTCTTAACTCTGCGACTGCAAGCTTCTGCTTCCCCCACTCCCTCCTCTCTCTTCTCCGCTGGTCACGTGTGCAGCCGCTGCAGCTATGCTTTCAATCCCCTTCGCTTCGATCCCTCTCTCTCTCTCTCCCGCCCCCGCTCCCACCCCTCCTGTGGCAAACCCCGTTACTTGGGAACCCCCTCCCCCCCCGCTCGGGTGCACCCCCACCCCTACCACCAGCTCCGCTCGTCGTCGGGACCGGCTGGCACCGCCGCCGCGGCCGCCGTCGTTGCCTCCGCAGCCTCCTCCGCTGGTCTGAATGATATCCCGACCGTCGCCGACACCAAGTCGGCTTTCCTCCAGAGCTATAAGCGTCCGATCCCGACTCTCTACAACACCGGCCTGCAGGAGCTGCTCGTTCAGCATCACCTCATCCGATGGAATGCTGCCTACAAGTACGATCCAATCACCGCCCTCGGATTTGTGACCGTCTTCGACGCGTTGATGGATGGCTATCCCGACCCCGAGAGTCGGGACGCAATCTTCCGAGCATACGTGTTGGCCCTCCAGGAGGATCCCGACCAGTATCGCAAGGATGCTGTGGCGATTCTGGAATGGGCCGCCGGGCAGGATTCCACCAACATCCTGGCATTCGCCCAGGGGGAGGGAGAGGGAGAGGGGTCACCTTCCTCCTCCTCCTCATCTTCTTTCGAGACGGCTCTGAAAGAGCTCTCTGTTCGAGCCGCAGCGAAGCGGAAATTTAAGAACAACCGGTTCTTTGCTGTCGGCCTGCAGACCCTGGCCGGTGCCGTTCAGAGTCCCAAGCCGACGACGGTGGAGGATCTGTGCAAAGCTCTCAATGTAGGCAAAGTGGCCGTCGAACGGGATCTCGACGTGTACCGCAACCTACTGCAGAAGCTTCAAACGGCCAAGGAACTTCTCAGAGAGTTTTTGGATCGAGAGAAGAAGAAGCAGGCACAGAGAGACGCACAAAAGACAGAGACGACGACGGCATCGCCTTCAGAGGGTTGATGAATGTTAGGCACCTGGAACACCTGTGAACGGTCCCAGTTCCAGGTCCGGTTCTGGTTCCAATTCCAGGCGGTCGGATTTTGGTTCCGGTTCCGGTCCCAGTTTCACACCTTGTGGCTCAGCTGGACCGGTTCCAGGTCCAGTTGTGGTACCAGTTCCAGGTCCAGTTTTGGGACCAGTTCCAGGTCCACATTGTGGTTCAGGTTCCGGCTTCGGGTGCGGGCTTAGTTCCGGATCCACTTCCGGTCCCAGTTTCAACACGTTGTGGTTCAGGGGCCGGTTCCAGGTCCACAACGTGGGTCCAGGTTTGATTAGCCGGAAGGAATTAGGGAGGGGTATTAGGAGACGGGAACCGGGCAGGGGGCAATGTCAGGGGGCAGAGGGCAGAGGGGGCGGGGGGGGGGGGGGAGTGGGGGGCCCATGCTTGTCAAGCAACCGACAAAAATGGTGTGGAGAACGATGAAGATGGAGTATGCGGGGAGGGGAGGGGAGGGGAGGCGAGACAATTGTGTGTCGCGGGTCGCGATCGAGATCCCATTCGATGAGTTCGTGGATGTCTTAGATGGACGCATCGATGGGGGCACACACAGAGAGAAACAGAGAAACAGAGAAACAGAGAAACAGAGAGAGAGAGAGAGAGAGAGAGAGAGAGAGAGAGAGAGAGAGAGAGAGAGAGAGAGAGAGAGAGAGAGAGAGAGAGAGAGAG